TTTTCAAAAACATGCAGCCCAAATCAGAACATAGCAAGTCCCCAGTTCTAACTCCTTCCTCTCATGGCTGTCCCCAAGGGGACGGGACTCTGCCTGAGGCTGAGGAGGGCCAGGTCAGGAGAGGAGTGGGCCGCAGCCCACAGAGCTAGTCTCAGCCCAGGCGAGGGCTGCGGGGCCCCCTCTGTGATGCTCACACTCCAGGGCGCGGCTGCCTTGTGCTTCCCAGCCCCTGGTCCTGGGTGCGGGCCCCCACGGGGGGGTCCACATCACCCAGGTCACCATACATGTCGCCGTCAGTCACGTAAATCATGCATGGACGTGCCCCGTGAGATCTGGGTGGGTTTCACACGTTTTCTTGTTGAATCGGCACTTCCATCCCACCAGGCCCCACCCCCAAACAGAGTTTCATCCTAATTATTAAACCGTTTTCTCAGGTAAATCGTCAGAAACGGAAATCAGCCGAGTTAAAAGTTTGAGGTTATCCTGACTGAGGAACGGAAGGAAAAAGAAACACTTTTTAACTGACCGGAGCTTGAACCCACGTCCTAACCGGACCGCCAAAGCTAGGAGGAGCGATGACTCGCCCCGTGCGCGGGACCCTGACATTTCTCACTGGAAACCTCGCGGGGCAGAAGGTGGCGAGTGACACATTTAAAGTGCCGGCCAACCATTCCGTGCCTGGCAACACTCGCCCTCGAGATTAAAGGAGAAACGAGTCCAGCTCCAGAACTGCAAAAGCCGGGGAACTTCATTTTTGGCGGAAACACAGTGTAGTTCTGCCTCGTCAGAAATGCGACGGGGAGACAGTCAGGGCGAAATGAAGGGACGCTGGGTGGTCACGTGACGCCATAAAAACAGTAAAGATAAAGAACACTGGCAAAGGCGATAGCAGAAGAAAATAGAAAGGACCGTCCAGACACATTTTCGTGTATAACTTCCCTCCTGTGTTGTTTCAAAGGCAGCGCATAAAGCCACAATTCTGCATCCGTGTTGATGGGCACACGGATGTATAAACGTGTAATTTGTGTGGCAGTGAGTGACAGTGGGGAGGACAAAGGGGCCTCATTGCAGGGCTTTCCCCTCTGACGGGGTCCGAGTCCGAGTCAGCGACTCCGCCCCAAGGCCCGGATCGCAGCCTTGACGGTGCACGTGGCCGACGCCGTCGCGTTGGGAACCGCGCCCTCCGCCAGTCTCAATACAGCAGCAACATTCCACCCGGTTCATCGCACGGCTCACGTCATGCAAAGAATCACTAAAATTCTGCCACTTGACAAATAATATTATATTTTTGCCATCTGACCAGAAAATAGGTTTACTCTTGATTTGTTCACAGCAGAAAGCTATTGTCGTGTTGGCTCCTTCGTCCCTTCCTTCCTTCCTTCCTTCCTTCCTTCCTTCCTTCCTTCCTTCCTTTCTCTCTCCCTCCCTCCCTGCCTCCCTCCTTCCCTCTCTCTCTCTCTCTTTCTTTCTTTCCTTTTCTTTTTTGACGAGCTCAGGGCAAAGAGGTCGGGGCCCCTGACTAAAGAGGCAGGCACGGCATGGTTTACAAATTCTCGGGGCCCGCCGGTGGGAAGTCACTTCCTTTGGCTGGGCCTCTGCCAGAGCAGAGAGCAGGTCTGTTCACTGGGCAATTTCCCTCATTGTTGCGGGTCCCACTGAAGGTGACAATCCTGTTCTACAGGCGTCTTCAGCACCTGCTGTAAGTGACCCTCAGGCAGCCCCCACAGCCAGGAGGCGTCCCCGCAGCGGTGGGAGGTGAGCAGAGGCCTGTGCAGCCTCCTGGCTGGCGGTCACCCGGAGTGGGCGCCGCCTCTTCACCGAATGGGAAGAGGAACACCATTAAAAACTAGGTCCCTTCGGTGCCAGCAGCTTGGTGGTGGCATTCTGCAGTTTGACACACTTCATGTATTGTTACAGGCGAAGTTACCCAGAGAGAAGATTATTTCTGCTTCGTGGGGTTTTTTACCTTCTTTTTCTCCCTTGATTCCAACCACTCCGCACAGTTTCCGTTCCTCCCTCCTACTTTGTTCTCCTTTCTGTTTCTGGACATTTCACCCGAATCGTCTCACATTCTTTTCCTCTGGAGAAACACTCGTGAGCGCCTACTGTCCTTCAGCCGCAGTGGGACACGTGGTGAGTGGACGTTACAAGGGACTGCGTTCTGTTGGACGTATGAAAATCAACACGGTCATTACTATTTTGTGGTGTGAGAATTCGGGTTACAAGGATTAGCTCTTCATTAACTGTGAACCTTTTTGCATAGTTTACAGTTTAAGACAATAATTGACCATCTGGGAAGTGCTCGGAGGGGGAAGATGGCACCAGTGTGGGCTTCTGTCCCACCAGAGGACAGGCTTCGTGACCTTCCCTGCCTCTTCTGGGGACTTTTCTAACAAAGTGCCCCGAACCAGGGGGCAAACAGACACCTACGACTCCACAGCTCTGGATGCTGGAAGTCCAAGGTCAAGGTGTCAACCAGACTGGCTCCTTCTGTGATGGAGAAAGGGGGAGGTTCCCGACTCGCCCCGGTGTCTGCCTGTCTCCATCTTCCCACGGTGTCCTCCCTGCCTGCAGCCCCCCCGTGTAGGAGGAGCAGTCACACCGGATTAGCAGCCCACCACACCGAGTGGGACCCCCATCTCCACCTGTCACATCAGCAGTGGCCTTATTTCCAAGTAGCCACGTTCTGAGGTCCTGGGGGTTAGGATTCAGCAGAGGAATCGGGAGCCCCGCTGTCCCACCCTCCCCAAAGAAACGGTCCTCTAAGTTTAGGCCGACTGGCTGACTGGGTGGTTCTGAGGCAGGAGAGACCAGAAATGGTGCGGACCCCCAAGACCTACGGGGACCCGGGGTGCCCGATGCCCCTCAGTCACCCCAGAGCTGTTTTGCCGGGAGCAGCGGCGTGAGCGCTGGCATTAGTCCAGGTGGTCACCATATCTGTGCGAGCCCACGCAAGTCCTGTGAGCTCTTCATCTGTAAAAGGGGTGAGACCCTTTACCTCCGGGGCCGTGACGATTAAAGGACAAGGACAAAGGCTGAGGAGTGTTGTACCGCCCAACAGGGACACCAGTCCTCTCTCCCAGCCCCAGCAAACGCGGGCCACAGCCCGGCTTCCTGTGCAGGGCCCACACGCAACACACACAGGTCTGCACGGCAGCGCTGACAACTTTATGCACACCGTTGTCCACGAAACCTCTAGAGTCTAGAACTTTCTATGCTGGCCTGAGGGAACGGCTCGCCTGTGAACCAGCCCCCTGACCCGGGCCCCCGGCCACCAGCAGTCTGCTTTCTGTGCCCACGGTGCTGACGACTTCAGATACTTCATACATGTGCGATCATGCGGTGTTTGTCTGGTTAGTGGCTGGCTTCGTTCATTTAGCACGACGCCTTCCAGGTTCATTCATGTCACAGCCTGGGACAGGACTTCCTTCTTTCTGAGGCTGAGTGACATTCCGTTGTGAGCACACAGAACATTCCGCTCACCGTGCACCCACCGACGGACCCTTAGGTGGCTTCCAGACCCTGACTGCCACTGGGAACGGTGCCTCGACAACCCCGGAGGGCAAGTGCCTGTTCAAGAAAGACCCTGTTCTTAACCCTTGCAGAGAAACGCCCACGAATGGAATGGCTGGAGCGCAGCCCCAGCTGCGGGCCGGGCGTTTCGGGGGGGGGGGGGGGGACATGCTTGGCATTTGGGGCTGAGCAGTTCTTCCGCGTGAGCCACACCCCCTGCCTTGCAGGAAGGTTCCCGAGACGCTGCTACCAGTAACACCCCGTCATTGTGCAAGCCCGAACACCCGCACATTTCCAAACTCTCCCCTGGGGTGGTCCCAGCCCTGACCGCGGGCAGTGGGCGGCGCCGGCAGGCCTGCACTGCACATGCTCGGCGGGGACCCCACAGCAACCAGGGCCGCAGGAGCGAGGAGCCCGCCGCTGGGCCTCGGCTACCTGCCCGAGTGCCTCCAGGGGGCGCTTTCTCGCGGCTGCACTGGTCCGGCCCTGTGTCTCATCCTCTCCCAGGGAGAAACTGGCGTCCTTCCAAGAACCTTAGGGACAGGTTCTGGCTTGCAGAGTAGCACCAGGGGGCTCCTCATTAAGACAAAGAGCGACCAGCACACAGCAGTCAGTGACCAGAGTCAGAACTCTGAGGACACCAAGTGCTGCGAGGTCGTGGGGCAGCAGGGACGCTTTGTCGCTGCGGCTGGGCGGGCGGGTGGTGCAGCCCCCCCGTGGGAGACAGCGGGGGTCTCTCGGACAGTCTACCTTACTCTTATCGCACGATCCTTGGCATTGGCCCAAAGCACCTGAGAACTTACGTCCACGCAAAAACCAGGGCACGGATGTTTACAGCAGCTTTACTCATACTGGGCAAGACTTGGAAGCACCGGAGACGTCAGCCGTGGAACAGCCAGACAAGCGAACATCATACTCCACCAGGCCACGAAAAGGCGCGGAGGCCCCTTACGCACACATCACAAAGGCAAGGAGCCCATCTGGAAAGGCTGCATCTGTGTGCCTCCGGCCCACGGCGCTCTGGGAAAGGCGACACCGCGGGGCAGTGGGAAGTGCAGCGGTGGCCAGGCGCTTGCAGGGGATCTTCAGGCCCTAAAACTCCTTTGGATGATTCTGCAGTGGTGGCTACGGGGTATCACATACATAATTGTCAAAACTCGGAGAACGGGCAACACCGAGAGCAAACCCTGCGCTGAACTGTGGGCTCTGGGTGGAGACAGTGTGTCAGGGTGGGTTCATCAGGTGTAACTGCTGTGCCCCCTGATGGGGGCGTCCTCTGGGGGGGCTGTACAGGCATGAGGCAGGGGTGTGGGCAACTGCTGTGCCTTCCTGGCAATTTTGCTGGGAACCTAAAACTGCTCTAAAAATAAAGCCTATTGACATATATCCACGTGTCACGACAGCCTCCGAGGTGAAGGAATGCCCTAGGTCCAGGCTCCCAGCATCCTCCCCATTTGCATTTTCTGAGCTTCTGACCTTCTGGGAGGTTTCACAGCTCAGCCGAGAGCCTGGGAAACCCGCCACTGGAGACCTGGGTTTGGACAGCCACGCAGAACTCAGTGCTGGGAAGCTGGCCACTGCGATTATACCGCCAGACACTCCCTCTGGGAGGAGCTGCCGGTCACACCACACTTTCTCCTGTCCCCTTTAGCAGTAACGTCTAAAGAACCAGGCTGGGGAAATGTTGTGAAGTGGAAGTTGTCCGACCCAAACTAGTTACCTATTTATTGGACGTCCATTTAACGGGCCCAGCAAGAGCCTGGGTGTGCGTGACGTCAGGTTTCGGCATCGTCAAGGTTCAAGTCCCCAAATGCAAGATGTTGACAAGGGACAAGGGCAACTGTCCCTAAACGCAGGGAGAGCCAGGTCGGGTTGGCTGCGTTTCTTTCCGCTAAATTGTCATCGAAGCAAACCCGAGATAGGACAATGTGAGCTCTTCTCTTTCAACATGACTCATTGTGTTCAGACCGGCATGACAGTGAAGAACCCACCTTCCTCTTTAAGAAAAGATGAAAGCTGTGGCTCTGAAATAGAATTCATGGGGCTCAGACGTGGCGCCCTATCTGTGGGGACCTCCCGCCAGCTGTGCAGCCCCTTCCAGGACAATTCCTTCCTCTGGGGCTGAGGACGACCCCACCTGGGGCGCAGGCTTCAAGGGGCTCAGGACGCCTGTTCGTATGAATGAAGCCACTTTCTCGGGCTGAAGCGGAAGCTGCCCTCCCCGGGGCTTAGGCAACGGGGAAGGAAACCGCCCAGGGCAGTGTGGCAGCTGGGACGCCGGGGCCGCTGCCGGGACCACCTGCTGCTGCCTGCCACACGGGGACCGCCCTCGCCACAATGCAGTCTCTGGGCCCAGAGGAGTGCCTGGTGGATGAAGAGGACGACATTTTTGGTGAAGGTAAATACGTCTCTCTGCCCGGAGCCATGCTGATCCGCTGGAAACCCCTTCCCGGTTTGGGCAAGGGCCGGAGGACGTTCTTGCGCGCCTTCCGAATGGGGCGGTGGCGGCGGGTTCCTTCTGGCCACCGGAGGAACCTGAGGCAGAGCACCGGGGGCCAGGGAGTGGAACTGCGCCTCTGTGTACTTACTTTCTCATGACTAGATCGGCTTGAGTTTGGCTTGAAAAATAGAACTAAATGTTTCCCTCTCCCCCTCCTGTGCTCTCTCACCCAGCACCTGAGGGAAGCCCACAGCAGCAGCGGGACAGGCGGACAGGTGGGCAGGGTGGTTCTCCATGGACCCCTGCTGCTTTGACCTGCGCCGCCTGCCCCACCCACCCTGGATCTTCCCCTCACTCTTCCTCGGACCCCAATCCACCCCCCCCCCGCCTCTCCCTCTCTTTTTGAGGCCCGATGTGCGACCAGGACACCCGCAGGCGCACGGCCAACTTTCCCTTCCTAGTTCGCTGCTTTTCACAGGTGGAGCCGGGCAGGGTAGGGTGTGGCCAGAGGGCTCTGATTTTAAATGGTATCTAGTCACCTGCCACCACCGTCTTCAAATGCTGCCCACGACACTGGCCTGTAGGCTGGGACTTTGGGGAGCCATCTGAATCAATGGTGTTCTGGTCTCAGGGGCCTCCGAAGTTCAGTTGTTTTCCCCAAGATACCATGTCTGGTCTGACTTTGCAAGAATTCTAGCAAGTAATTTTTAAAGGCGCACTAGCAAGTTTTGGGGGATTACCCAAGTATTCAAGTTCATTGAAGGAAATTTCAAGGGCACAGATGCCTCCCAGGATCCTCTCACGGTTTAATGTGTGGATGTCTGTCTTTCTGTCATTTGGTTCTGGCCTCGGAAATGTTTAAAACCATGACTCAGGTTATGATGGCAGCTTAAATCTGCTGGGGCTTGATGGCCGCTGGCCATAGTCCCAAGTGTTGGCTTTAGTCTGAGCCACTGCAGTTGGACCTCAGGGTCCCTTGTTCTACTCGGAGGTGTTTTCTCTGGTTAAACCTACCTCGGTATCTCCTCCCTTCGTGATTTAAAAAGTGATCACAGCTAGGACTTGGTGACGGTGCTAGCGAGCGCCACCTACAGGCCGGTGCTCGCAGTGCGGGCTGTGCGCCCCACCCGGCAGAGGTCAGTCCGGGCAGGGTGGGCGGGGGAGCCCAGCGCCTCCGCGGAGCATCCGTGAGCTTTAAGGTCATTGTTTCAACTTCAGCAGGCACGGTTCAGAGTTAAGTTGGGGCGCGGGCAAGATTCAGATTCAAATTCTCACTCGGCCTCATACTGCCTATGGGCCTTCAGCAACTTATTCTGCTAACCCTCAACGCCCTTTGCGGGACGTGGGGTGTCAATACCTGTTGGACTGTACAGATACGTTCCAACGAGCTTCCTAGTACTGGCGTCGTGCTTCCCTGCGTTCCAGACTGATTGTCTCATTTAACCTAATCTCTGAAGATTAGAGAAAGGATGCTTGTAAATCCAACCTCTGGTTGCCAGGGTGAAGGTTCACGTTTGCCAAGTTCGTCCAGGGGCTGCGTCATTCCAAGCAAGCTCAGTGTGGGGTCACCGCTAGAGCACCTCTGTGGGGTCGCAGCGCCAGGGCGTGGCCACTTCACCTCGCGGGCCTCGGTTTACTCATAAAAAGGACTCAAGCCTCACAGATGGGCAGGTTAGTGGTCGTTACCGGGCCAGCGCTTTGCCAGGCACTCGGAAGCTCTCAGTAAACACTAATTCCCCCCTGTGCTCATGAGCTCGGCTGCACGGAACAGGCTGGAAAGTGACACAGGAAGAGCTTCAGTGCAGAGTTTTTTGACATGTCTGGCCACCATATACACTCAAACAGAACTCGTTCACAGAACCTGAGCGGAGAGGCAGCTTTTCGTGGGTCTGCGGTGGTGGGAACCGCCCTGGAGAAGGGGCCAGGGGCCTGCACCTGCGGCTACCTGTCTGGAGGGTCCCCCACAGGCCACTCGACCCCTCGGGGCCTCCTCTTTCCCGGAACACAAGGCGGGGCACACACCCTCCAAGACCTCGTTCTGAGCTGCAGCGGTGTCTCTGCATGGCGGGGGGCCTCCCCCTCGGAGACCCCCATCCACAGGCGTCCGCTGGGCTTCTGGCCCACCTTGCTGGCCTAAGAGTGCAAAACGCTTCCGGTACAATGAGTTTCCTTAACACGAAGGAAGAAAAATGCCGAGGACCTTGTTGCTAAGGCAACCATATTTCCTTGTAATGGACACATTGTTAAAGGACTCTCTCCCCCTGAAGGCACACTGATTTAGAACAGAGGGCCACTTGGCTAAAAGTAAAAATACATTCATCTAGATGCACAGACCACATAAAGCCCTGGGGAGGGAAAACAATGAGTCGTGCCCACGAGTGTGTATTTTTACCTGCCTTCCTGAGATCCTGTTTGCTTTAGCCCCTGTGTTCCGAGGTTACAGAAGATGTTCAGGTTCATAGAACAAAGAGGCACCAGTGTGTGGCTGTGCTCCTGAGCCGCAGGGGGTCCCTGTGGGGAGAGGGGGGGGGCTGTCACCCACCTACCACCGGAGACCCGGACATTTATTCCCCTCTCTTCTCTGTCTGTGTGTGTCTCTCTCTGTTTTTCTCTATTTCTCTGTGTGTTTCTGTGTGTGTGTGTTTCTCTCTTTCTGTGTTTCTGTTTGTCTGTCTCTCTCTCACACACACACAGACACACACACACACACACACACAAAGGCTGGTTTTCAAACACCGCCACCAGCATCATCTTCATGCTGGTTAGGAAACAGATGCTACGCAGGGCACTACCCTTCCCTGGGCGAGTGATGGGTCTGACCACAGGGCCCTGAGAGCCCAGTAAGCTGGGACCAGAGGAGACTTTTCACTGTGGCTTCAAACTCATCACATGGAAGGGCTTCCATCTGTTCTCTCCCTGGGCCTCCTCGCCAGCCAGCCTGGCGCAGGTTGGTCGTACTGGCTGGGGGTGGGTAGTGATAGTAGTGATAACTATAACGATTCGGACGATGGTGATGATGATAGAGAAAAAGTGCTGGGCCAGCCTCCAAGAACAGAACGGGGCTGACATGTGGGAGGAGACACCCCCAGGGGGCGCTCATGCAGTGGGTCAGCAGCTGGAGTTACTCGCTGGCCCGAGTTCAAGGTGCAGTGAGAACTTCCTCCCTCAGAACCAGAGCCCTGGCTGCCTCTGTTTTTGAGTCTGCTTGGGAAGCCACAGTCAAGAGCAATGACCAGAATAATAGCACCACAGGTTCACAGTGATGGTGCAAAGTGTTTCTCAGGCTCCTCTAGTCCCTGGATGCACACACGCCTTTTAAGATCTCACCTTTGGAAAGACCACAGGGGCCTGTGAAGCTGGGCCAGGCGGTTCCCCCAGAGCCGATGCAGCCCGCGAGAACCTCCCACCCTGTGTCCCTGCCTCCGGGAGAGTCATTCCAACCTCCCCAAGGGAGAATGCTCCCCCCCTGGAGGGGAAGGGGCCAAAGGCAGTCCCCCTGACTGTCGCTCTCAGACCAGCTGACTCTCTTAGACCAGCAGGTGGTTGGGAAAAAATGCCACTCACGTTGAACCAAATCGCCCGCCTGGCCCCAAGCCAAGCACAAGAAGGGGGTGGCGCTTCCCATTCAAAGGGAGGGAAACATTCAACTCAGAGAGAGCAAGAAAACTGCAAAAGGCGTCTCCAGACAAGAAGTATCAGTGAGTCCACGGCCACTTCCTGTCCTTTCTGTGGAAACTGCTTAGGAAGCCAAGGGAGATTCTCTAAAAAATAGGTGAACGACGATACAATCTGCAGTAGTCTCGCCTACTTTGACGTTATTTACGAATTGCAGGTACACTTGCCAAAATTCAAAGAAAGAAGGAGGAAAGCAAGATTAGATCAAGACTATGAATGAAACCAATACATCCTGAAAGTTCAGGCTGGTTGGGTCGTAGCCTCCGGAAAAAGTAGGAAAAGAGAGGCACGTCGGCTGGAGAGGGTGGGAGGTTTCTGGTGGACGTGGCCCCGTGTCACGTCACGTGAATGAGGTCCCCGTTGTTCGGCTACGTTGGGCCTTTCTCAGAAACACCCGTACCTGGGGGGCTCCGGGGACCCCAGCGACAGGCCTGGAGGAAGGGCGGAAGGAGGCTGCCCTGGCTTCTGGGTTGAGAGGAGCTGGTCACTCTTTGCTTTCACTGTGTGCCCTGGCTGCCTGGAATAATGTCTGCTCTGGACTCCTGGACAAAAGCTTTGGCTGGCAGCCATCCTCCCCGAGTTCTTTGTCCCCAGGTCTGGGAGCAGACACGGCCCCCTTCCCCCATCCCCGCAGTAATTCATGCCTGTGTGACCTTGGCCTTGGATTCTCACAGAGCAGTCCCTTCCCAGGGACGTCCAGGAAGGCTCCTGCGGCCGCTGCCAAGGAGCCGGCGACCTCTCGGGCGCATGCACCAAAATAGCACATGGCAGCACAGCTATGTGGGCGCTCAGCCACCAGTCCCCCCTCCAGGGACCGCGAAGTCCCCTGCTCAGATCAGCCACAGCCAGCAGGGGCTCACTATCTCACACACACACACACACACACACACACACACACACACGTCAGAGGCTCGTTGAGTATCTCCGTGAGCTGCCAGCAGTGTTCTCAGGGACCGCACGCCACACGCTGAACTTATCTTCTACGAGACTTGAGCTGAAAGGTCCAAGTGTAGGTAGGCCTGCCCACTGCACCGTGTTTTTACAGGAAAAGAAACATGTTGTGTCAAGAGCAAAAGTCACCAGGAGCACGGCCCCTGTTCCCCGAGGGCGGCCACCTCGCCCACACAAGTGGGCGGATCCAACTTCTCCTCTGCTCGTGGGTGGCTAAACGTGGCCTGCTGATTGCTTGCCAAACAGCTGTGGCGTTTGGGGAAGAAGTTTGCAATTGGGCTGATTTCAGAAGAGGTTGCAAAGATGGAAAAGGTATTAGAGGAGTCCAACCG